CCAATCTTTTTTCTTTCCTAATTAATTATCACATCTCACCACCAACAAGACTGGCATATTTACAAGGCTTGGAGATGGCCTCTAGAAAATTCATTATATCCTTGATGACCACTTCCACACTGTAAACTAATCTGTAGTACCATCCAAGCCTATTGAAATGCCGTGCTTTATGGTGTGTAGAAAATAATCTATCGCTGCACCTCTAGACTGCTTTGTAATGATGGAAGTGTCATCTTGTAGTAGCAGCAGTCCATGAGCCACGGAACATGCAAAAAGTATATTATGACAAAATACATCATTGTTAAGTTTATTTTCTCATATTCTAGCTATTGATTTTCCGCTGGCATTGCAAGTTTGTGAGGTGTGGGTACCAAATGATATGTGATTATTAGTGGGGTTTCACAGAACTCATCAGCTCTGAAATCAATTGTATTATTCTGGTGCAGCTTATGTTCATTTTGACAGGGCTTTTGTAGAAGAAAGTCCTAACGCACAGGGTCCTCATAGGTCAAAACTGTCTTTCTGCTGCTGTCCTTCATGCCTGTAACACTCTCCTGAAGCACCAGAGAGTCTCCCTCTCCCTTTTGTCAGTCCTCTCTAAATCTTCATTCCCACTTTAGGAAGACCTAAGGAAAGAGATGAAGCTAGGGCATCTGTTTTGCATGCATCCCAGGCATTTCTCAGTAGGTCTAAGGCCACATTCCCTCAAAGAATTCTTGGAGCTTTAGTTTGTTGAGGGTGCTGAGAGCTCCCCTCAGAGCTACAATTCTCAGTGATATATCCTGCTTGACAGGAAACTCTGGGAACTGTAGCTCTTGGAGGGGAAAGGGGATTTCCTAACAAGCACCCTTAACAAACTACAGCTCCCAGGATTCTTTTGGGGAAGCCATGGCCATTCAAAGTGGTGTCATAGTGTGGATGTGGCCTAAGAGGAATGATCCTGGCCTGAAACTCTGAAGAGCTGCTGTCAGTCAGTGTAGGCAACACTGGACTAGATGGACCACTATCCCCACTTTTCCTTCAAGGAGCTCAAGGTGGTGCACATGGTTCCCCTCCCCTTTGCTTAGGCCCCTCAAGAACTCTGTGAGGCGGCTTAGGCTGAGAGGCAGCTTCAGGGCCAAGCGTGGATCTCCCAGGTCCCAGACCTTCCTAGTATATGGTCACCTCAGTTTTCATGCAGTTGTGGAGCACAATGCTCAGGTACAGTGATGGATGTGATCAATTCTGAAACCAGTTACCCATGAATAAGGGCAATTATTGACAGGATAACTCATAACTAAGAACAGGCCAGAAGCGATTCTTTTTTTAGTACTGCCATATGGCACTAATGAATTATATCAAGGAGTCTTTGAAGCACATATGATGTATACACAGCTTCCCCTCATCCTCCAGATTCAACACATCACAGGATCATGTTAAACGAATACAACAATCTTTCACATATTAACATGTCATAGAGATAGATAGATGATAGATAGATATAGATGATCTAGAGATAGATAGGTTTGCTTAAGAGATGGACCTCATGAGCCAATGACAAGGATCTCCTTGAGCAACCATTTCCTCAGAGGTGCTTGCCAAAAGGCAAACATTGCTACAGACGGAATAATTGGCAAAGGCAAGACTTCAACAGGTAACAGATGTCCAGACGGAATGAACTTCCCTGGAGGATCTAGGGAAATATCTCTATCTATTCCATGTTTCAGAGAATGAGAGCCTGTGAGTGGGCCATTTTGATGGTGTTAAGGGGAAATACAAGCTCTTACCCTTTGCCTTGCTCTTTCCAGGCCCAGGTTTGCACTCTAAAGCTCTGCATTGGAGAATGCACAGTAACTTTCCCCAGAAATACCCACTATTTAAAGATGAAGCACAACAAATGGCAATTCAGGTTTTTTATGTATTGCCATTTGCTCCGATTCAGTTTTAAAGAGCAGGGTTTTGTGGGGGGGACGGACTCCGGAGCAAAAAAAAAAAAAAAGAGTGCTCAGACATGGAGCTTTAAACCACAGACTGCGCCTGGAAAGCATGGGGGAAATGTAGGTGTGGACAAGCCCTCAATTGCGGGACAGGGTGTGGCATCAGAGGGCTCCCCCAAAGATGAGGGTGGCCTCTCCTCTCTTACAACTCAACATAATGATCCTACCAGAAAGATATTGATAATGGCAGCATCTTTTGTCACCAGGTATCATGGATGTTGAATAATGAACCCCATTAATACCTACTCACTAGTCCTGGAATTCGTCTCGTAATGAAAACTGAAATGAAAACCAAGTGGGGGAGGCCCATTCACTTCAATTTTTCACTTTCCCAAAACGAATGTCTGCCCCCAGTTCATGGCACTTTAGTTAAGACCCAGACTTTACTGAATTTAACCTTACAATTCTACAAGAGGGTGGGTGTTGTTCTTTTGGCAAACCAAATAAGTGTCTAAAGACAAGGGGGCAACCACAACTTCAATTGTTATGTCAAAGGCAATCCTTGCAGCTGCAAGGATGCTGCCTGCCCGGAGCTGGAAAGATGATGATACCTTCGAGGGTGGACTGGCAGATGAAATTATTGGACCATGCAGAGATGGCAAGATTAACTGGGAAAACCAGAAACCAGGAGGATGAAAACTTCAAAAGAGAATGGGACAAATATAGAATGTATCTGATAACTCTTGCAATGATACGTAGACTATGGATATAATGGAGGACTGTTAACTAGATGGACTTATAATATGCAGTTGAAAAAGTTACTTAAAGAACCCACAGAGGGGAGGAGGGAAGTCCTAGGATTTGAAAGAATCTTGTGTAAAATTCTAATATTTGCAAGAATATTATTTCTGTGAATGAACTTGTAAAATCATATATATATATATATATATATATATATATATATATGGCAATCCTTCAACAGGGACCCAAGTACTAAGGCCAGTAGTTATGAAGAAAGGAATGCAAGAATGATGACACTCAGTAATATTATTATTATTATTATTATTGATGTAAGTATGGGCAGGTGGATTTGGCATATATGAGGGAAGCATCCTCCATTCCACGGGTCTTGCAATTATCTGCATTTCATGGCTTCCCAGTCAGGAATTGGGAGAGACTTCTCCATCCTTGGTAAGTGAGCCTTTGATATATGAACACAATATTCACACCCAGGTTCTGCTGTGCAGCATTCACCAAGGCCTAAGGGGCAGCCCCAAAGACCCCCAAGCCAAGGGCTGTAGAAGGCCACTCAAGAGGTGCCAGTCTCAAGGTGTCTGTCAATTAAGTTCTTAAATTCCCTTACCTACCCACACCGAATGCAAAATAAACCAAATATGTGCATCACAAGCATACCAAATAACTCTACAGTCTGGAATAGGCAAAGAAGGGGAGTCTTGAGGCCCCGAAAAATTTCCTACCCAGTCCCCGGAAATGGTGATTAGCAAAAAGCCACACTGCAGAGGGAGCAGACTTCAACAGCAGCCCAATTGCTTCCCTCCTATTGGGCACTCCTGCCCATGTGACCCCCAAGACCCATGGGAGGAATGAATTTGTGTCTTCTCTCAAGACAAGCTGTGTGGCAAATATAACCCTGTTAAAGGGCAGGAGTGACATTCTGCAGCCTCCCTGGGTTCCTGCACATTTTGAGAATTTTGTGGCATCCTTGGCTGGCCTTTCCTGTCACTGTGAAAAGCTGGAGAGGTGGCCTCCCATGCTGCTGACTGTTTGCTTTCATTTTTAAACAAATCAGTACAGGGTTTTTTGTTTTTTGTTTTAAGATAAAAGGAAAGGCATCTCTTAAAAATTAAACTAGCCTGTCCACCAATCTTGGGTTCTGACTATTTAGTCTCCTGAACACCTCACATTTCCATCTCAGGATCCCAGTGGAAGACATTGTGAGGTTATTCCTCCCATGAGGTTTTTGCTGATCTGGAGGTGTGGGAATTCAGGGAGACTGCAGAGAGTTGGGAAAATGTTTCATGGAAATAATAATAATAATAATAATAATAATAATAAACTTTAATTTGTATCCTGCCCTCCCCAGCCAAGACTAACATCAAATATATAACATCGGTATAAAATCAAACAATAATTACATTACCTCCTAAAAACAAGTCAGGATCAAATTTAAATCTTAATTAGATAGCTTTCTGCAGGATTAGATTTGGGAACAGTAAATGTTCATCAGGCCCAACTGTTTATGCTGTTCTTATATGAGCCTGTGAGAATGCTGTGAGGCCTCTTTCATACTAGTTCTTTTACAAAAAGAGAAGGGGAGTCAGGCTGAGCCCTGACCAAAGGCCTGGCGGAACAAGTCTGTCTTGCAGGCCCTGCGGAAAGATGTCAAATCCCGCAGGGCACTGATCTCTTGTGGCAGAGAGTTCCACCAGGCCAGGGCCAGGGCCGAAAAGCCTAATCTCCCTGGGGGCTGGGATCTCCAAGCTGTTATTATTTGCAGACCGTAAGGTCCTCCGTGGGGCGTACCAGGAGAGGTGATCCCGACGATCACAACCCACTGACCACTCTCAACCATCTTGCTACTATGATATAAGCTCAGCCCTGCACCTTCTGAAATTCCCAAGAAATCCCAAGTGCTCTGTGAATGCTCCAGAAATATGGGAGCCTCTTCCAAAGAGGAATAAAGCTTTCAAGAAACTGGAGGACAAATTTCGGCACAGCATTAATATCTAAAATATACTAAGGACTGAAAGAGTGCAATATAAATGCAAAAATATTGTGGTTATGGAGTGAGGAATTGGGCTTCTTCCTCCAAGAAAGTCAGCATTCAGTATCTAACATTCTTTAAGCAGGCACAGAGGTGTGCTAATGTATTTGAGTTCACACTGCTTAAAGTTAATTCAAAAACACGTCTATGATTCAGTTGGTCAGCTTCTCTCCACAGCACTGTTCTGGCCATCACTGTCATGCTGAAGGCATACAGGTCTATCTTTTCCAACTCAGCTGACACCGGGGAAGCAATTTCCAGAATGATTTCATGCCAGCATGCTATTTTGTTAGAACACCAGAAAACTTCCCTCTGTTTGTTTTTGGAGGTGTTTTTGGAGAAAGGGGGCTGTTTTAAGCTATTCCATTTTACTCTTGCAGTGAATCATATCTATGAGAGCCCCTGTATGTCTGCGTCCAGATCTTCTCTTAAAAATCAAAGCAAGGAGGTAGGTATGTGTCTCATGGCATAAGTATTTTAATGTATTTTTAATTTTTGTTGGAAGCCGCACAGAGTGGCTGAGGAAACCCAGCCAGATGGGCGGGGTAAAAATAATAAATTATTATTATTATTATTATTATTATTATTATTATTAGCTGAGCAGCCTGAATGAACATCAGAATTTGTGTCCCAACCACACACAAAGATCGTTCTCACCCCATTGGAACAACCCTAAGGTTGGAGAAGGAGGCAGAGTGGAAGGAACCAGCAGAAAGAAAAGTTAGAATTACTCAGATCCAGCTCTAGCAATGGTATAGGGCAATCAGGTCAGATTATATGTTGTTGTTGTTTAGTCGTTTAGTCGTGTCCGACTCTTCGTGTCCCCCTGGACCAGGCACTTCTGTCTTCAGAAGACAGATTATATAGGAGCACATATGAAATGACCTTATATCAATTAATCGATCCATCTAGCCTAGTGTCATCCGCTCTGACTGGCAGCAGCTCTCCAGGTTCTTGGGTAGAGAAAGGCTTTCCCAGCAGCTGCTTCTTGGTTCATTTGTTGGTTTAACTGGAGCTGCCAGAAACTAAGCTTCTCCCAAACCCCTTTCCCTCCCTCCATTTGGTATAAGATTCCAAGCCCCTTGCAGGGACTGTCTCAGTGTGCTTGGGTGACCTGAAAGCCTCCGTCTAAAAAGATATCATTGCACTAAGAGGTTGCATGTTCCTCTAAAGCAAGGGGGGAGAGGGGGGGAGCCATAGGCCTCAGGGCCACATGGACCTCCCCAGGCCTTCTTCCCTGGTCCTCAGGCCACACACCCTCCCCAGACACACCTCCATTCCCCAGGTTGCTTCCCTCACGGCCCGGGCTTCACTTTTTCCTTGAGTGTTGCCTGGCTAGAACAAGTGCATGAAAGAAGGATCAGGTGTGTGTGTGTGTGTGTGTGTGTGTGTGTGTGAACCTGGTATGACAAAAATGTAAAATGTACATTCCTTGCTCTGCCTACTTTTGCATCTGGCTCCACCAACCGCTGCCATGTGGCCCCAGAAGTTTGCCCAGAAGAGAAGATGGCCCTCAGGCTGAAAATAGTCCATTGCCCCAATACATTGTTGTGGGCTGGGGAGACTCCATGGATGAAGGAGCTGGGCAAGGGAAAGAATGACTCCTAACTATGGGCTGTTAGTATAAGAAAGGAAGCTGCTCTGTGCTAGGGGCAAATGGGTGGGCCTCCCCCCCTTCCCCCTGGCTGGTAGTGAGAAAGATGGCAGCCAGCATGGTGCATTGGTGAGCTGGGCTAGAGTCCTGAGATCGAGAGCCATGCTGATTTCTTCTGGAATCCAAAGCTGGGACTATGGGAGAGGCAAGACCTTCGGCACTGTTAATGCTGTAGGCTCAGGTTGTATAAATGTGTAAATCAACCACATAACATTAAGACCCCACAGACTCCGCTATCCCTCATTCCAAGGAAACCAAACCCTGGGTAGGTGTCTGGAACCCCTGTAATCTTGCACCCCTTGGAGGTTGCCGGGGGTGCGAGCAACAATATGTAATTTATCAGAGTTAAAAAGCTTGAAAGCGGGAGCTACCACACCAGCCATCGTCTGTTTCAATCATGCATCCAATAGCTTTCCAAAAAGGTAAAATAAAACAGTGGTAAAGAAATAAAGGTTACTTCACATCAGCCAACAGGGGCACCAACTCCTGGGGACCCAACGCTCTCTCTTCCCCCATGTTCCAAAAAATCAGGGCCAAGCACAGAGCTGAGTGTGCTTCAGTGGATGGATCCTCCTCCTCCTCCCATGGAGGGGAAGGAAGGGGAAAGCAGCCCCTGGCCAGTGGCAGCAGGAGGAGCAGCCACCTGCCATTGAAGCCATGCTGCTGCCACATTCCTGGCTCCTCTGACATCCTGACATGCATTGGGATGTCACAAGTTGGCGCCTCTGTTATCAAAGATGTCTTCAGATTCTACATTACATGACTGGAGCTACCTTTGTCACATCCTTGTGCAAGATAGAGAGAGAAGAAAGAGAATGAGGAAGAGGAAGGGCTGGAAAATCCATGCTTCGTGGGAAACCCCAAAGTTTACTTTCCCTGGCTGTTAGTCTCAACCCGGCCCTCTACTGGCTGGAGACATGCTAGGTTGCTTATACCCAACAAATAGTTCTGCTTGAGATCTTCCTATTGTTTTTCTTGGTGTCATTTCTGGAGAATCCCTCTACTTTCCACTCAGCAATGGGCAAGACCTTCCTGCATTGATCATTATTGCAACCTAAGATCCCATTTCCTGCTCTGGTGTTTGCTCTTGAGTCATTGATTTTCCTTCCTTCCTTCCTTCCTTCCTTCCTTCCTTCCTTCCTTCCTTCCTTCCTCCCTCCCTCCCTCCCTCCCTCCCTCACATACAGCATCACTTATTCACTGCTGCTTTCTGATGCTCAGGGAGAATTGTTTCCACCGTCTAGATGGTGAATAATGAGCTACATGTGGAGAGTATTCAATGCTTGATGCCCAGAATTCCTGCTGGGCTCAGTGGTTTTGCTATTCACTGGTTAGACATAGAAAATCCAATGTTCCTTTCCTTTTAATGGGATTAATAAGACAACACTGAACTTAGCTCATTATTCAATTCCATTGCTGCCAAAAGTCACTCCTACGGATTTTTGGAGACAACAAACTCACCGAGATGAAACTATGTCAATGTGAACGTTTGAATATTGGTGCATTAATTAAAATGGAATGTGTTTCTTTTCTTGCTTAGTTAACACTTCTGCTGCGCTGCTAGCACCTAAGGAGGATATGAGAGAGCTCAACGGAACAAAAATAAATATATATGTTATTATGGAGATATTGACTTTCTGATGGAAGTGCAGAGGATCTGTAGTGGAGTAAGTGGAAGGATGCCAACTTGCCTTCCCTTGCTATCTTTTCCTTTCCATTCCAAAAAAAGTTTTCCAATCCAATGAAAGTTAGAATTCTGCGTGAGTTCTGGGGGGGGGGGGATAACAGAGTAAAACAGGTTGATTTGGAGTCTCTCTTCCTTCTTGGGTCAAAGCATAATGTCAATAAACAACTTCCAGTTGGATCGGCCCACTCCTCCCCCCCAAAAAACTCATGTTGCTCTACTGCTTCTGTATTTCTGAACCTTATAGCGCTTTATTTTCCCATATCTCTATATTTCTCTAGGTCCATCAGCTTTTGAAGAAGCATAGGAGCAAAATAAAATATTTGAGGGGGCTGAGCCCCCCAAAGTTGATGGGCATCACCTGGCTGTGAGTTCTGAAGGCCACTCACTGCAAGGCCCTTTCCACCTGGCTTAGGGGGCGGGGCCTAGACTCAACAGCTCTACCAAAGAGACTCCTGGGAGACTGGAGGGACGTTACCTGGCTGTGAGTGCTGAAGAGCCCAGACTCACTGGAACAAACTCTGGGGTTGGGGTAAATGTAAAAATGTAAAAAATGCTTTAAAATGATTTAATTTGTGGCATTTTAAATTTTGGTTTTATGGTTTGGTTTTTGCTCTGTTGGGGGTGGGATAAACATTTAATTGGGGCTGGGAATTAGTTTAATTTTTGCATAACTGTGATTTATTTATTTTTTAAAAAAACTTGTTTATAGGCAACTTCCGGTTGGTCGCCCGGTAATGGCAGTCGGGAGCTCTTTCGGCTGAAAGAGCCCCAGCGCTTTGAAGGCCCAGAAAAAGTTAAACATGGAAATCAAATGGTTGAGATATTCAGATTTATTATTGGAGGATAATGAAGGATATAAACTAAAACCATTTGATCAAGTTAAAGATAAGTTAAATTGGTTACATTACCACCAGATTAATGAATCGTATAAATTAGATAAGAAAAATGGTTTTGCTTCTGAAAAATCTAAGTTGGAGATGGAGTTGTTGGATTCTAAAGTTAAAAATCGGTCTAAAATGTATAAGTTATTGCTGGAGTGGCATACAAAGGATGAGCAAGTTAAATCAGTAATGGTAGATTGGGCAAGAGATGTAGGATATAACATAATGTTTGAAGATTGGGAAAGATTGTGGAAGAAAGGGGTTAAGTTCACTGCATGTACAATGTTAAAGGAAAATATAATGAAAAATATGTATAGATGGTATCTGACCCCTGTCAAACTAGGAAAGATTTATCATAACTGTGATAGCCTATGTTGGAAATGTAAAGAAAAAGAAGGAACTTTTAATCACCTGTGGCGGACCTGCCCCAAGGTGAAAGACTTCTGGGAAAAGATTTATAATGAATTGAAAAAGATGTTGAAATATACATTTATAAAGAAACCAGAGGCCTTTCTTCTTGGAATAACAGGTTTGGAATTGCCCAAGAAAGATGTTAAATTATTTTTGTATGCCACAACTGCCGTTTGAATATTACTAGGTAAGAAGTGGAAAACGCAAGAACTGCCAACTGTGAAAGAATGGCAGATGAAGATGATGGACTTTTTGGAGCTAGCCAACCTTACTGGAAGAGTCCGCGATCAGAATGAGGAGGAGTATCAGGAAGAATGGGAGAAATTTAATGACTATTCAGCTAAATACATCAAGTTAAATTAATTAGAAAAAGCTTGCAATTACCAGCTAGGCCTAGGATTTAAATATGTAATGCAAGGAATTATTATGTTTAATGCTGAATTGGGAAGAATAACTGATGTTAAATGATTAAGTTAAGATTTTAAGAACTTTGATTTGGAAAACTGTTAAAATGATATTCATTGAAATTCAACTAGGGGGATACGAGGAAGTCACTTAACAATTTTAAGAAGATTAGTTTTAATAAGGTTATGATTTATGTTTGTCTGTTTATTTGTTAGTGTGTTTTTTTAATTTTGTGAAAACCCAATAATTTTTTTTGAAAAAATAAAATAAAAAACCATGTTTCTATTATTTTATATAGTTTGTATTCTGTTTTGAAGGGGAGAGGGTTGCCCGGGAGGGGGCCCCAGCCAACAGAATGGCTGGGGCAGGTTCCACAGGTGTGGACGCACTAGGACACCTGATCTCAATGATCACGGGTAGGAGGAGGAGTTACGCTAAGACCAGACCATGTCATTACCGAGGAGGCAGGTTTAGCCATTGTCTGAGGACTATCCCTGCCTCTGGGTCTGGTCTTGACCGGAAGGATACTGGAATCAACAAGGGAAACCCACATGACCTTAAGATGCTGCTGTGTCAATGATTCATAAGACCACTGCCATCCATGACTTGATCACAGATGGAGAACTTGACCTGGCATGTATAACAGAGACTTGGTTGGATGAAGCAGATGAGCCTGTTCTTGCCGCTGCTTGTCCACCAGGTTTCTCTTATGCACAACAACCCAGGTCATGTGGGTGGGGAGGAGGGTTTGCAGTGATTTTTAGGAAGTCATTAGCTTGCACCAGGTGTCCTGTCAGGGAGACCCAGTTTTCTGAGTGCATGTTCTAGAAGTTGGGCAATAGGGGCAGTACAGGATTCCTTTTGGTGTACTGACCTCCCCGCTGAACCAAGGACTCCCTGCCCGAGCTGCTTCAGGAGACACCTAGTTTGGTTGTCGTAGGGGCTTTTAACATCCATGCCGACAGAGCCTTACAAGGGGCCACTCGGGACTTCGTGCAAAGCATGGCCTCCATGGGGCTGTCCCTGAATGAGTTTGTCCCAACTCATAGTCGCCTTAGACCTGGTGTTCACCTGTATTGATGTGGGTGATCTGACATTAAGTAAAAGCGAAACAAAATAAGTGTCATGGTCAGATCACTTCCTGGTACAACTGGACTTCTCCATGACCCTAAATGGAATAACTGTGCCCCTGAAGGAACAGGTGTGCAGCCTGGGAATAATTTTGGACTCTCAGCTGTCCATGGAGGCACAGGTGAATTCTGTGTCCAGGGAAGCTGTCTACCAGCTCCATCTGGTATGCAGGCTGAGACCCTACCTGCCTGCAGACTGCCTCATCAGAGTGGTACATGCTCTGGTTATCTCCCACTTGGACTATTGCAATGTGCTCTACATTGGGCTACCTTTGAAGGTGACCCGGAAACTACAACTAATCCAGAATGCGGCAGCTGGACTGGTGACTGGGAGTGGCCACCGAGACCATATAACACTGGTCCTAAAGGATTTACATTGCGTCTCGATTGTTGTTGTTGTTGTTAAAGCACAACAAAATATATTTGTTTTTAAAAGCTATAAACTTAATTTACTTTTTTAAAAAATCTCACATTACTTTTTTTTAACAAAAGAACAAAAACTCAAAGATCTCCAGAACTTCAGGCAATACCTTGGTCCACCTTACATTGTTGGGTCTATTGGAGGAGACAGCCACTGAAAAGGAAAGGCTAGCAAGTAGCTGCAAAGTTTAGAAAAATGTACAAGTCAGAATACTTACCCCTTGACGATCTCTAAATTATTTTAATGTAAGAAAGAGGAAGAGAGAGAGACTAACCCCGACTCTCCCACCCTTCATAAAGGATATGAAGGAAAGTGATGTCCGTTTTTCTTCCTCCTCAAGAGACCCTGGCCATATTTGTTTGCAATTTGCCAGGTTAAATCCACCGGGGGGGGGGGGCTTCTCTGCCTGAGTATGTCATCCACTTTGGCCCAAACGGCAGAATGTTACATGTATACGTGGTTTGACTCTACAATCAGCACATTCACTAGTAAAGCGGTAAAGTGAAAATTTCTCAGAGTTGGAGCATCTCTTAAGCAGTTGGGTCACATCTCAGTTGTATATTTCAGCTGGCAATTGTAATTTATAATGAGTAGTTTAAAAAAAAATGGAGATTTAGCTGACCTTTGCATTTCTTCTGCTATCAGGCACTTGACCCTCTCTTCATGTCCCTTGAAGGTTTCTCAGTCCCCGGGGTGGAAAAGCAGCCGTTATCCCCCCCCCCATATAATATGATAACCAAGATTTATGGCTGGGTTATTGTTTATCACCACATAATTATCTCTATCAATAAGCTGTCAACAGGAGACCTCTAGCCTGCCATGATTCCTCACCAGAAGTCCAAGTGGCTTAGCTTTTCAGAGATGGTAGTATAAAGAGCACTTTTCAACCCAGTGTGAAGAGTGAAGTACTTCACCATCCTTGTGCTATGGTCTTGGGATGACCAGGAAATATATGATAAGGTTCTTACCACTTAAGGCTAATGGTGTCTTTGACTACTTGCACGCCTCCCCTTAGGGATAGCCGGTCTTTTTCAGCAAGGGATGAGACACTTCATCTGATCCAGGAGCAGCTACTTTCAACTGTTTTCTTCTTCCTGGCTGAAAATACAAGGTAAAAACAGTTAAAAACAGATCAGTCTTTCCATATCTTATCTTTCATTTGCTTGTTTCCCTGACCTCCTCACACCTCCCTTTTTTGTATTCCAGTTCAATTAGTTAATTCAGCAAATCCTTTCCCTCTTTGATTTTATCTTAATCTTTTATCTTAATATATTATAACTTTAGATTATCACCTGTTAACAATCCATTTTTACGTATTCCTTTATAACATTGCTGCTAAAAACCACTTAACTTCAATCCAACATCATTCTAACTTTCATTAATTTTGCAGTATTTCTGTAGATAGTCTTTGAATTTCTTCCAATCTTCTTCCACCGACTCTTCTCCCTGGTCTTGGATTCTGCCAGTCATTTCCGCCAGTTCCATATAGTCCATCACCTTCATCTGCCATTCTTCCAGAGTGGGTAAATCTTGTGTCTTCCAATACTTTGCAATAAGTATTCTTGCTGCTGTTGTAGCATACATAAAGAAAGTTCTATCCTTCTTTAACACCAATTGGCCAACCATGCCCAGGAGAAAGGCCTCTGGTTTCTTCAGAAAGGTATATTTAAATACCTTTTTCATTTCATTATAAATCATCTCCCAGA